ATGTTCATGGAGATAAAGAGCCATGTTCAGTACGCCGCACAAAGGCTAGGTGTCGAGGTCAAAATTTTGTTTAAGCCTTCAGTGCTGTATAACGAAGCCAGGGAGCGTACATGGTAAATTTGTTCTGGAGAAAATGTTATATAAGGAACGCAATGGACACTTGCTTTTTTTCATTGACAAGATCCTTCACCCCCATTTCCTTTTCTTTAGCATATCTGGTTTAAGGAAGACATTTACTTGTAAGCTCAGCCTTTTCTTTAAAGTTTAATAGCAGCCAGTTTTTTTCTTTTACTCAATACAAAGCAAATAGTCTTTTAGGGTTGTTATGTAAGATATTGTAAACTAGGTAATTTCGATCAGCCTCTGCAATATGAATGTATGTAAAGGATTATTGTAAAGGATTGGTTGCATAGCCAAAGAGATCCTTAGGTGTTTTCAAGTAGATTGGAAACATAACTTCACTGTGGAATTAATGCATGCCATGGACTGCGACAGGAAGACACGGAGATCTTTCCGTGTCGAACATTTTTGTGAAATATCTTTGCATAAATTTATACGCCGCAAGGTAGAAAGGGCAAAGAGACTAGTTACCGAATGCCCGAAAGGTCACTTTAGAAGAGCGAGGACGGTTAAGCTCACACCTTCAGCGGCGGATGTGACCATTGTTACAGTATTCAGTCAATATCGTCTGCTTGAAGGTCCCCCCCCCATCATTCACCCGATTCGCTGTAGGAAAAAAAAAAAGTATTCCGGTGTTTTTTGTTGTTGTTGTTGTTTTTGTGTGTGTGTTTTATTAAAATTCCTTGAGTATTTTTAGAAGATAGAGGCTTCAGCATGCTTGTGTATCGTCTTTCCTTTTATATTTAATCAAGATTAATTATCTTAGTTTAAAAGATGGAGGCTACAACGCTTTTTACCTCGCCTTCACTTACTTTGGGTATCACGATCCTCAACTTTTTATATGCATCTTGAGCAGTTTGCCCAAAGACTCTCAAACAAGAGAGCACAAGGTCTCACAAATTTGGCATAGCTTACAAATGGTGCTTATATTCATATTAATTGAAAGTAAGCTTTCTAAGATAATGCGGCACGTACGTCAGAGATGCTTTAATCTCCCAGTTTTTTAAAGTTTTCTCAATTCTCTTATGATACTTGACACAGACATAGGATTCTCCTGTTTTTTCTTTCTTTTCTTTCCTCTTTCGATAAAGAACACTTGTTCAGCATTTCGTACCAGAACAGACAGTCCTCTAAATAAAGGAGAACAATATCAAATCCCTTTAACATTCTCAAATCAATATACATCAACAAATCCCTTAAAGCCAGTCCTTGCAAGGCGAATGGTCCAAAAAAAATGTCTGCAACTGACCTCACTTCACCACACTTTAACTACTCGTGCCAAGGCAGGAGAGTTTTTACGTCCGATTTTTTTATTTTTCTTCTTCTTCATCTTCATCTTCTGCATTTTTTTTTTTTTGTCATAAGAGCATCATCGAAGACGACACTCGTCTTTCTGCTTTTTGCCCATTTACTATTTTTATTTAACGGTGCCTACTTAAATGAGGTCTTCGTTGAGTACATCACAAACCTCACTGCTGTTGTTGTTTTTGTTATTTTTGTTATTGTCATTTTTATCATTACTTTATTATTATTATTATTATTATTATTATTATTATCATTATCATTATCATTATTATGATATTATGATCATTATTATTGTTGCTGTTGTCATTGTTTTTTTTATTATTTTTATTATAAGTACTAGTTGTCGTAGTAGTAGTAGTATTACCTTAATTCCTATCATTAATAGTAGTAGTGGTAATAGTAGTCGTAGTATCATTATCATTATTATTGTCATTATCATTATTAATTATTGCTCTTATCATTATCCTTATTATTATCATTATTATTATTATTATCATTACTGTCTTTATTATTATTACTGCCATTATTATTATTATTATTACTATTATTATTATTATCATTACAATTATTATTATTATCATTATCATTAGCATGATAAGCAATACTGATAATATTATTATTATCATCATTATTAGTATTATCAATATTACAGTTATTATTACTACAGCCACTATTAACATTGTTATCATTATTATTTCTACACCTACTACTACAACAACAAATACTACTACTACTACTACTACTTATTTATTGTAATCATTCTTGTGTAATTCCACTGTTTTCTTTTCTTTTTTTTCCTTTAAAAATAAATAGATTAGAACATATTCATTTTATAGCTATATCTGCAACATATTCATTTTCTTTCCATTTTATTCCTACTTTCTCCTTTGGATATGGTTCTTAGAACTTAGTATGCACTTTTATGACCAAAAAAATTAAAACTCTACAAGCGATACACCTTTTCCTTGTTAGTTAAAGGGAGGAGAGGTGAAGCCAGATAGATGTGACAAACATACATGTGCAGATATACATGTATAATATATATATATACATACATACACACACACATACACAC